TATATATATATATATATTTTTTTTTTTAGCTGTCTGTGTATGATAACACTCGAAAGACAGTAGTTCGTTAAGACTTTAAGTGAATATATATAGTGACCCCAAAACGTATTTGAACAATTATGTCACACTTAAAAGAAGGCTATATGAATTTTATTGTACATCACATTAATGCACATGTTCTACTAAGGATTGACAACTACAAAGTGTTCAAATTAGCTTTTTTGCCTTAATTTTGAACTATTCAGAATTGTTAATGTACAACCCGCCGCATTAAAGGTAGGTAGGTAGATAGATAGATAGATAGATAGATAGATAGATAGATAGATAGATAGATAGATAGATAGATAGATAGATAGATAGATAGATAGATAGATAGATAGATAGATAGATAGATAGATAGATAGATAGATAGATAGATAGATAGATAGATAGATAGATAGATAGATGATATAACAATTACACCACAGATGCAGGTTTCATGCTAGTTCAAACATGTTCAAAACACACTCAAAAATGTTACGTTAGAACTAGCAACAATAGGCCGAGTGGTTCCTTCCTGAATGATTCCGTGTTTTAAACAATACGTAAATGATTCTGTTGCTGATTTCAGAACTGCATACTAGCACTCTACTTTCACTATATAGTAAGAGTAGTGTGCTAGTCTGCATTTCGGAATTTAGCAAATTACTCATTTATAGTTGTTTCATTCTTGAATCAAACAGCGTTTTTGAACGAATCGATTGAATCAATGGTTCAATGAGTCACTTGCTGCTACCTACTGATGTAACATGTTGCTTAACCTGTAGAAATAGTCACTAATTAATGCACAGATTGGCACTCTGTCAGGAACTACTCATTTATACTAGACTATATAAATTAATGAACTTTAAAATATATTTAGCCTTAATGATTTGAAAAAATCCAAGTGGCAGTGGAAACTGTAATTTTGATAGTGTTGCTCTGTAAAATACTACTGATGTGCAAAATACTTGACTTGTTTTTTTGTTTTTCTCATTGGGAAAACATCAAACTTCATCAAATAGGAGTATTAGTTTCCCGTCGAATTTCTAGACCTTTCAAAACAAGTCAG